TGGATTTCTTGACTAAGGCTTGGGGCTTGATGATGCTTGATTATGGAATTGTGGCAATTGAGACATCCTGATAGCCTTTTGATTTTGACTCCTAAACTTGGTCATTGGAATGGTCAAGGCTTAGAAAGTGCTTGAGGTGCTGGAGCATATCAATTATGGTAACTTTGGTATTGTTTGTTGCAGCTGTTGTGAACATGTTTTAGGAACCAAAATATCGGGCTTGGCTATTGAAGCTTGAGCTTTGCATGTGGTCACTGCAGCAAATGTGTTGGGTTACAACAGCTTGAGTTCTTTGCAAGTGATGGCAAACTTGGAGGCCATAGTGACATAATTGGAATTTCAAGGAGATTTTTGGTATGTGAATAGTGGTTTGGGTAATAATGGATTCTTAAGCTCATTTGGGGTTTTGGAATCGCTGCTATGGTGATTGCAATGAATTCCTTCCTCTGCCCCCAAGTGCACCATAATCATCAGAAAAGGATTTGATGGGCACAAGCTACAAAAACTCTTGCAACGTGGTCTTCTTAGTATTTATTTGGGTCATTGCATGGCATGATGAACTTGGGGTATCCTCTTGTTGCAATGGTGACAATTTGGCATGATACGGTGACAGCACGTGCTTTTGGCAGCGGCTCTTCTAGCAATGGTGTTTGGATTTTAACGACTGGCTCTGTTCTTCTTCCAGCTACTCTTCCGGCTGCTCTTCCAGTGGTGCTTGAACTTTTATGACTGGAAGTATAGAGAGAGATTTGTCTAAGGAATGGATGATAATGGCAGCGTGTGGAGATGTTGGGTAGGAAACATAAGAGCATTTGTTTTCTTGTTTGTTGTTTGGAGGCTTGGGTCCTTTGCACATGACCGATATAATGCTGCACGACCAAAGCATACGATGATTACAAAAATAATATAAGCATCGTAGCTTGCAAATGACTAACATAATCGACATAAGCATGCTGAGCAGGTATGATTTTAATACTGAGCATGCATAGTTGGCATCTATATTGCAATGTGTAACTTGGATTGATTAACACAAAGGTGGATCGATACGAAATGATAAGAAGTAAGATAAGTGAATAGTGCGTGGAATAAGGCCCTGAGAAATTTTTCTGGAGATGCAAAATTGAAAGGTGGTTTAACACATAACAAGAAAATGATGCAAGTTGGTGCACCATATGAACAATAACTAATAAATCAATCTTTTGTTTTTTTTGGACTTGAGCAAACCGAATGCACGTGCTTTTGTCTAAGCTTGAGATTGTTCAATGAAACATAAATTTTATGAATGTATTAAAACAACAAACAAATATATATGCTATATTGAGATCAACAAGGCATGATAATAAAAATCTTATCTTGGTGAATCCATTCGCAGAGATGAGGCTGAGAGCATTGAGCAAGTGTTCCTTCTCCCTCTCTCACCGCGTTTTCACAACTTTAGAGAGGTGAGGGCTGTTACGAAGGTGATTTATGGCGATGGCCAGACTTGCTGATGATGTATTGTGGTGGAGAGGTGAATGGCAGAGCTAGCCTCAACAATTGATGACGACGATTAGTGGCTCGCACGTTGGCTGAAGCCCCCAGTCCTCTTACAAGATCTTGTTTTGCTTGAGAATGGGGATCTAACATACAAACAAATGGAGCATGTGAGTAATCTATATTTATGTTTGTTATGCAAAGTAGATAGTCAACAAGAGGAAAAAACAAACAAGAAAAAGGGAATGTTCTTATCTCTTTATTTTCTCTAGTTTATTGCTTCTGGTCTTTGACTTTGGAGGTATTGGTGAAGATATCGGCCTAATCCCCAGCAGAGTCGCCAATTTATGTAGGGACTTTTTCCTTCCGGCAGCAAGTGGGCTGGGCTGATGAAGTTATCCCCTTTGTTTGAGTTCGAAATTAAGCCCCAAAATGCTTCGAAAGGACAGCAAAGCCGTAGGAAGTATTTTGGTTATCTTCTCCAACAAAACAACAGCAATTTTACAGATAATTTCTTCACGTTCATAGATAAATTTTTTAGGCTTGGCATGAGGGGCATGTGGCATGAGAGCAAAGTTATCATGGGTTTAGCACTTTTGGAAAGAGAAAGCTTGTGGGTTCCTATGGAGGTCAGAGGTTCTAATGGAAGAGAGGAGAGGTTCTAAGGAGGAGAGTTTTGGGTGAGTTTCGTAGCTTCCGGCAGTTTGACAGTGACTCTGTCAGAGCTGTAGCAATCTGCCAAAGCAGGGGAGATGGGGGAAATGGGCTAGCAAAGCACGAAAATTTGCTGGGTTTGCAAGAGAGAGAAAGCTTGCTCTCTGAAGATTGTGGGTTGGTTGTGTTTGGGTAGAAGAGGCCCTATTTATAGTTGCTGGGGTTTGCTATTCTTCAAGAAACCCTAATGGTTTCTTCCTAACTTAGCTAGGCTTTCTTCTTCTTTTCTTCTCTTCCTTCTTGACTTACCTCATGGTGGCAAGGTCAGCTTTGTCCAATCCCCCAAAATCAGAGATTTTGGGTGCTCCAAGCCTCTTCCAGCGGCTGCCTCAGAAGGGAGCTTCCCCTTTTCACTCATCTTCTTCCTCCTCTTTCTTCCTCTTTCCATGGCCAAGTCTGGTGAAGGAAAGAAAGTGGCTGTACCCGTTGGTTTAAGGGGTGGCATCCTTCTTGCGTGCTAAAATTCCTTGGTTTCTTGAGTTCCTATACTTGGAACTAGTTCCCAGCAGCCACCCATATGCAGATTCCCAACGTTGGTTTTGTGGTTTTGTCTCCAAACTGAGTGCCAAGGTCTGAGCTGGTTTTTATTCTTATTATGTTGGCTTTTTAACCACATGATCTATCCAACGGATGGGGTGGCTTTGTTAAATGTTGGGCTTTTTGGTTAGTTTACTCTAATTGGACCAATGGGCTTATTTTGGCTAGTTTATTCTAATTGGGTTAATGGGCTATTTTGGTTGAGG